TACCCAAAAAAAAATAAATCATAATAAAAACAAAATCCGACCACAGCCTCCGAACCACTTCCTAACCAAAAAAAAAAAAAAAAACAAAAACAAAAAAAAAAAAAAAAAAAAATAAATCTCCAATCAACATATTTTCAAAACATCAGACAAACACCTACCTCCCGTTCGCTAACCAACCCTCATTGACTTAACCCATCCAATACCTCGTTTATTTAACAAGTTGGTTGAATGACCGCCATATTTTTCATGAGGCATGCATGACATTCCCTAACGAAGAAAAAATGATGATAGCTCCCTCCCATCCGCACTCTTAACAGCTTCATGTTCGCTCTGATTATACGAGATTGTTTTGAGAGTTGAGAATGGCAGTCGATGGTGGAAGGCGCCCTTGTAGCAGGGTCCTTCGCATCCGTTGGTTTTGATGCTCTTCATGATGGAGGAAAAAAAATAAGCTCGGGATGTGGTTGCTTTCTCTTTTGATTTTGGCTATCTTTTATTGTTAATCTATTCTCCCTCTGTCTTTCTATGTCTCCCTGACTCTCACCATCAATATCGGTCATCTGTTATCCTGTTCTTGTCTCCGTCTGTCTGCTGTCTCCTCTCCTCTCTCTCTCTCTCACTCCTCTCTCTCTCATCTTCCTCTCTCTCTCTCTCTCTCTCTCTTCTCTACTCTCTCTCTCTCTCTCTCTCTCTCTCAATGTATTATGCATACATATGTATATACATCAAGTACATAATCATATATTATATATATATATATATATATGTGTATGTGTTGTATGTGTGGTATGTGTGTTGTATGTGTGATTGTGTGTGACAATATAAATACATAAGCATATATGCATACCTACCCACACACATATACACACACAAACACAAATATATACACACACACACGCGCGCACATACACACATACACAAACACACCACCCACACAACATATGTTATACACATACATACATACATGTGTGTGTGTGTATGTATGTACGTATGTATGTACGATATGTATATATATATATATATATATATATAGTGTGTGTGTGTGGTGTGTGTGTGTGTGTGTGTGTATCATGTATACGTGTATATATACATACATATAATATAATATATATATATATATATATATATAATAATATATAATACATATATCATAATATGTGGAGTCAGTAAATAGTAAGAAAGAGGAAAGAAAGGAGAGGATTGGAAAGGAGAGATTGTGGAAAGAGAGAAAAAAATTTGAGAGAGAGAGAGAGAGAGAGAGAGAGAGAGAGAGAGAGAGAGAGAGAGAGAGAGAGAGAGAGAGAGAGAAGAGAGAGAGAGAGAGAGAGAGAGAGAGAGAGAGAGAGAGAGAGAGAGAGAGAGAGAGAGAGAGAGAGAGAGAGAAGAGAGGAAGAGAGGAAGAGAGGGGGGGGTAATAGAGAGGAAAAATAGAGGAAGAAAATCTGCGAGAGAAAGCATAAGAGGAAAAGTGAGTGTTACGCGCGTGTGTGTGTGTGTGTATGTGTGTGTGTGTTGTGTGTGTGTGTGTGTGTGTGTGTGTGTGTGTGTGTGTGTGTGGTGTGTGTGTGTGTGTGTGTGTGTGTTGTGTGTGTGAAAAAAACACAATAGCTATCGCATGTCTAAAATGTGACACAAAAAAAAACTGACGGAGCAAAAAATATATATATAAAAGATTATAAACCACCCCCAAAAATATTAGATAATTATGAAAAAGGGACACATGGCAACTCTATGCACTTCCTACCGCCATCACGATCAAGTAATTTCTTTATCCCCGAAAAAATGCTGTTCGTTAACCCTCTCAGTTTTCTCTCACCCCTTCTACCTACCTGCCCCCCTCCCTCCCTCCCCATACCCCCACCCCACCCCTAGCCAACCTCTCTTCTCTTCTCCTCTCACGCCCCCCCGTCCTTCTCCTATCTTTGCTTATTACTCCCCTTTTCCCTTCACTTCTCTTCCTTCTTCCCTCCTTCTTCTTCCTCTTTCTCTCTTCTCTTCCCTCTTCCTCCTTCTCCCTTCTCCACACCCCTCCCTCTTCCCTCTTCTCCTTTCCCTACCCCTCCCTCTTCCCCCTTCTCCATTCCCTTCCCTTCCCTCATCCCTTCCCCTCCCTCTTTCCCTTTCTCTCTCTCTTCCCTCTTCTCTCTTCTTCCTCCTCTCCCCTCCCCCCCCCTTCTCCCTCCTCCTACCTTTCCCTCTTCCCCTTTCCCTCCTTTCTCCCTCCCCCTCCCCTTCCCCCTTTCCCTCTTTCTCCCTCCCCCTCCTTCTCCCCCCCCCCCTCTCCCCCGCACGTGTATGGGGCGGAGGAAGGGTAGCCCTGATGGCCACACACACACACACACCTCCGTTGACTCCCGCGCCACAGGTGGGGAGGGCGAGGAGGTAGGGGGGGAGGAGGGGAGGGCGGGAAGGAGGGGAGGCGAAGGAAAAAGGAGGAGTAGGAGGAAGGAGGACGCGGGAGGGAGGGGAAGGACCCAGGTAATTATGCCTCTCCCGCCAGGATAGTAGCAAGGGGGGGGAGGGGGCACGGGCGAGGGAGGCCGAGAAGGGCGGGCTTACGAGGCCCCGCCCACCCCCTCCCTCGCCCTGCCCAGGTATAAAGCGCGCCCTCCGCGCCCCGCCCGCTAGTCCTTAGCCAGGAAGCTTGAGCGCGAGAGAGAGTGACGCCCGAGGATCGCGCGCGAGTGTGATGAAGTGATCGCGGAGTGACACGCCCCTGAGAGCCTCGTTCGAGCGTCGCGATGGATGGCGCTGGTCTTGTCTACCAGCAGATGGTGCACGCTTTCGCCGACGCCTACAACACCGCCCTGTGCAGCGCCCGCCCGCCCACGCCCGACAGCGGCTACAGTTCCTTCAGCCCCGCGTCCACGCCTCCTCCGAGCCCCACCAGGCTGTGCCCTTCGGCCACCCCGACAGACGCGTGGGCGCCCTTCACCACCATGGCGCAGCCCCAGCGGCCGCCGTCCGCCCCGCTCGGCGCCTTCCAGGAGTTCCCGCAGCTCTACACCGCCACAGGAGCCACCGCGCCGCCGCCGCCGCCCCCGGCCTCCTCGGCAAGCAGGGCCTCCTGCCGCCCAAGGCCGCGTCGCCCGCCCAGAGGAGCAGCCCTCCGCAGTACCGGACGGACGGCTTCCGGCCCTCCAGCATCCCCGCCAGCCCCGGCGCCGCCAGCGTCAAGCCCGCGCCCGCCTCGCCGCTGCTGTCCATCGAGAACAAGCGCTGCGACCCCCAGCAGCAGCAGCTCCAACAGCAGCAGCAGCGGCAGCCGCGGGCGGGCAGCGCCCCGGGCTCGCACGCCCCGAGCAAGGCGCAGAAGAGCTCGCGCTCGAGCAGCCGCTGCGGCGCCAGGAAGCAGCGGTCGGGGCGCGAGGTGACTGACGGCGTCAGGAAGAAGCGCCGCCTGGCCGCCAACGCGCGCGAGCGCCGCCGCATGGACAACCTGAACCAGGCCTTCGACCGCCTGCGCTCCGTGCTGCCCCAGCTGTGCGACGACCGGAAGCTGTCCAAGTACGACACGCTGCAGATGGCGCACACGTACATCACCACGCTGGCGGACCTCCTCATATAGCCTCCGGCCGGCGTGGAGGCCGCGTGAGCCTCCTGCGAGGTTGTGCTTCCTCCTCCTCCTCCTTCGCGAGGGCGTGAAGGAGGACGAGGCCTTCCCGAGGACCCCCGTCGCACCAGGCAAGCTCAAGACAGTGCCAAGCCACGTGGCGATCAGGCCCGCGCCTCAGTGCCAGCCGCCCGCCGACCCCTCCTCCGAGCCGCCCACGAGGACCCGCCGTGCCAGTGCCCGCCCAGTGCCCGCCCAGTGCCCCGCCCAGTGCCAGTGTTGGATCTCCGAGCGTGCGAACTCAGCCTTGCGAGAGCGTAGCCTGCGAGACGGCTTCCCTGCACGAGAGAAACACGAAACTGGCGTCCATGAAAAAGACAAAAGCGAAACTGATGCTGTGAGCTGTATTGTGATGTGTTGCCATGTATCAAAAATATAACGACGTGTTAAGTTTGTATGAATGTTGAAATCTGACGAAGGAGAGACGAATTGTGTCGCATTCAGTCCAACATTTTTTTTTTTAGTTTATATTCAATGAAAAGAAAAAAAAATGAGTTGTTATATTCAAGAGGTATATTGGACTTGACTCAAAGACATTACAGTATTACTGAATTGTACATAAATGTTTATCTAGTCAACCATTTTTCTCATGTAAAATTGTATGATAATAAATACACTAATGAAAGCAACATCAGTAATTTATTCCCCCTCCCCCCCCCTTCCCCCCCTTAACACAAAAAAAAAACTAACTAGCCAAAGAAAACGTGCAAAGCGTATATATAGTAGTAGTTATAACGTACCTGCCATATATAGACGTAACTTCCTTTGCGTTGTTGACACCAAGCGAGTATATCAGCCTCAGGGTCTCGGGTAGCAGTAAATGGGCAGTGTGAGCGACTAAGCGCTAGATAACGAGCGGTTTTGACGGCAATACTTTAGTCGTTTGATTGCCTCGGTTATCAAGACCGGGGTTTTCGGATCACTTCTCGTGCCCGCGTTGAAATCACCAGCAGAAAATTATTGTTTATAAGCTCGTTTCTTTGTTATCTATGTATGAATATAGATATATATTAATATATATATAAGAAAAATATTGCTCCTTTATCCAATGATATGCAAAGAACACTGGTCGTGCGGTGTAATTAACAATTAGGAAGGTAATAAAAAAGGAGTAGGCACTAATAACAGCTGCTTCTTCGACCTTAAATACTTCATTTTCATCACCTTTTTCCATAAATTTGCCGGCTGCAAATTGTCCGCGTAACCGCAAAATGCATTTTTCTCTCGCTCGCAAAAAAAAAGAGAAAAAAGAAAATAGGTTAAAAAGACCGGGAAAGACGACGACAATTAACCCGCCAAAAGTGGCCACTTTCAAATACAAATGTTTCACTTCGTTACGGACACAAGGCTGACGTTTCCCAATAGCATGGCTCAAGGACATGCAATTCATCGTGGCCAATCTGCGCTTGAAGGCTGACGACGACGATAAAAAAGAGAGAGAAACAGGGACGAAAACTTATGAAAAAAAAGGGAAAAAATAATCGACGCTCGGCAACCTCGTCGAGAAAGGCGAGGCTTGAGAAATTGAAATATTTGAAATTGCTATGAAACGATCATAATGACAAGTTAATGAAACAGACAGTGGGATTAACGAAAGGTTGTGAATATAGCGTGATTAAACTGTTGATAGTTTAATTATGAGGATAAAAGTCATACGGAAGGATTGGCCTTTTTCGCTCAATTTTAATCTAGAAATTCAAAAGCGGTAGAGGATAATGGCTCTTATTGTCAGTGATCAAAGAGGTTAATCAAGGCTTCTATTTGACACTTTTACCGTAGTCTGTTGCCTTACGTATTACTGAAATATACATGACAAGCAAGAAATATATCAGACATACGTGTAGATATGCTCATATTATGCTCATATTATGTGTAGGTGTTAGTTTCATATGTCTGTTTGTTTTACCGTAAATAAAGAATAAAATAAAAATAAAAATCCAAATGGTATTGGTGTTAATGGTTTGATTAATGGATATATGATGATGATTTTAAAGAATCACGGCAGTTTTAGTAATAACAAGGATCGAATGTACACACACACACACACACACACACACACACACACACACACACACACACACACACACACACACACATATATATATATATATATATATATATATATATATATATATATATATGTATGTATGTGTGTGTGTGTGTGTGTGTGGTTTATATATATAAATATATACATACATATATATATACATATCTAAATGTATCCATATGTATATTCATATAATACACACACACTCGTATGTGTGTCAAGACGGAGGGGCATCATCACCATATTACCATCATCGACTCTGCATATTATTATTGTTATTGTCACTCTCATCACCATCATTTTTGGTGATGATTCGTATAGATCTAGTAATAAATGACGACTTCGTTAAAAATCATAATACTAATAGAAATGATAATAAAAAGGATAATAAGGATAATAATGATAATAATGGAAATAATACCAAAGAATGGTAATGATAGTTCTGATTGTAACGATAACGATAGTTTGATTGTAACGTGAATTCAATGATGGTAACAATAGTTACGATGATAATTACAACAACCGTAAAACTAACTGAAATGGTAACGATAAATGTTAGACCAAAATATCCTTAATGATGATAGCGATCGTAAGTATAAAATCGATGGCAATTATGCTAATTATTATAATACTGATCATTACAAATACAAGAACGAGAGTATTGTAATGATAACAGCAATATAATTCACTTCAATGAAAATAATATTGATAATACAAACGGGAAAAATGACGATAATGATGATGAATAATAAAAGCAGCACAATGTCATCATAAAAACAAAAATTATGAAAATGATTATGATTACAATGGTGGTGATGATTATAAATGTAACCATAAAGTTATCTGTAATAATAATGACAATAACGATACTAATAATGATGATAAAGAGTGTAGTAATTATGATATTACTAATAATAATAATGATAATGCAAATGATAACAGTAATAATGAAAACGAGAGTAATAAATATAATAATGATAATAGTAATGGCAATATTCTTAGCAATAATCATGAAAAGGATGATAAGGATAATCATAATGATGATAAAGTTAAAATTAATAATTATGATAAAGTTAAAATTAATAATTATGATAAAGTTAAAATTAATAATCATGATAAAGTTAGAATTGATAATTATGATAAATTTAATTATGATAAGTTAAAATTAATAATCATGATAAATAAAATTAATAATATGATAAAGTTAAAATTAATAATCATGATAAAAGTTAAAATTAATAATATGATAAGATAAAGTTAAAATTAATAATATGATAAAGTTAAATTAATAATCATTATGATAAGTTAAAATTAATAATTATGATAAAGTTAAAATTAATAATTAAAGTTAAAATTAATAATTATGATAAAGTTAAAATTAATAATTATGTTATCACAATTCTGCGTCTACTATTACTGCTACTACTACTGGGATTACTGCTACCAATTTTACTACAATCACTATTAATACTAATATAAAAAATTATGGTGATTATGGTAATTAAGACAATGATAACAATGGTCCCATTAATAAAGCTACAATGATATTGATAAAGATAACCACAATGATGATAGGAGTTATGTCAACAATGATGATGATTCTGATAAGAAAGATGATATTACTGATGCTGATGATATGAATTATAATCTTACTGATGATTATAGTAATAACGAAAGTGGTAATGACAAAATTGATAATAATAGTAATGATAATGATAATAATAATAATGATAGCAATAATACTGAAGATAACAATAGCAATGACAAAAAAATGATGATAATGGTAATGATAATAACGACGATATCATTAATACTGATAGTGGTAATAATGATAACCATAATAATAGCAATGATATTGATAATGGTAATAACAATGGAAACAATGGTAGCAATTATAATGATAATAGTAATGATAATATTTAAAAAAATTACGATGATGATAATGATAATGGGAATGGTACAGTAATGATAACAAAATATATGATGATAATAATGATAGTTGTGATAATAATACCAAAGATACTGGTAATGATTGTTCTGATTGTAACGGTAAGCGTAAAACAATGATAATAATGATAGTAAAATTGATAATAGCTGCAGTAATAATGTTAATATTCATAATAAGAATGATAATGATCATAATTGTTTTGATTCGATGAACACTAATAATGTTTATATTAGTAAGAATGTTAATAATAATGATAATGATGGTAGAGACAATAATAACAATGATGATGAGAATGATAATGATAATATTAATGACAATGATAATAATAATAACAATGATAATGATGATGATAATGATGATGGTGATGAAAATGATAATATTAAAAATAATAATGATTATAATATTAATGATAATGATAATAGTTATGATAATAACGGTAATAATTTATATGATAATGAAAACGTTTATGATGATAATTATTGAAATAGTAATTGCAATAATGATAAAGATATTGTCATTATTACTGAATTCTATTATTCTTTTACTATTACTATTATCATTATTACTATTAGTATGATCCTCATTATTATCATTATCGTTATCATGATTTATTAGCGTTAATAATCATTACCATTATCATCACTATAATTGATATTTAAATTTTCATGGTTTTTGAAATTGTAATTTTGTTGTTATGAATATTACCATTGCTATAACAATAATAATTTAGATTTTATCGTTATGATTATCATTATTATATTATTACTATAATTTTTACTATATGCTATTGTTATTATCATTGTTGTTTTATCAGTTATGTTCTTCTTATCATCATTTTCATTAGTTGCATTTCTATAATTTTTATTGTTATCATTATTAGCATTAGAACTATTGTAATTATCTCTGCTATTGTCTTAATCATTATTATCGTTAATGTTATTATGATAACAATGTTAGTAAGAACAAAGGTGATAATTAAATAGAATTAGAGACTAGGAAATCATAATTATAACAATATCAAAAGCACCAAAATTATGTGATTACAACTAACAACCAATCTACAAATAATTAAAGAATTAAATGGATTTCAAATCATACACCCATCCTTGTACCTATACTCCTAATACGGCGTTTCAAAATCAAATTCAAAATGAGGAAATTGTCCAATATTTCGGCGTTTCAAAATCAAATTCAAAATGAGAATATTCTCCAATACTTTAGGGTTTCAAAATCAAATTCAAAATGAAGAAATTCTCCAATACTGCGGGATTTCAAAGTCAAATTCAAAATGAGAATATTCTCCAATACTTTAGGGTTCCAAAATCAAATTCAAAATGAGGAAATTGTCCAATATTACGGCGTTTCAAAATCAAATTCAAAATGAAGAAATTCTCCAATACTACGGCGTTTCATAATCAAATTCAAAATGAGGAAATTGTCCAATATTTCGGGGTTTCAAAATCAAATTCAAAATGAGGAAATTGTCCAATATTTCGGGGTTTCAAAATCAAATTCAAAATGAGGAAATTGTCCAATATTTCGGGGTTTCAAAATCAAATTCAAAATGAGGAAATTTATCCAATGCTACGACGTTTCAAAATCAAATTCAAAAGGAGGAAATTTATCCAAT